ACACGCGGGAGAGTCGATATTGTTACTAGAGTCTCCCTCAAGCTGAACTCTCCTGTTGTATTTAAATTCGCGTTCCAGCTGAGTTGTTCCTCGATATATCCATTTACTGACAGTTCCGTGAATTAGGTATCCGTGTGTTTCATGAATGTTTGTTTCGTTCAGCCAGCTGACCGATTCTGTGGATAAAGGGGGAGACTGTTACTCGTGGCAAAAAGCACACCGAGTTTCGCTATTATCCAATACGTTTTTCGTTTGGTAGATTTGCGTATCCCATCTTAGAATCTTCCTTATAGAGGCAGTCTGTCTCCCCAGTTTCCACTGTGTCATGTGCGTATGCAGCAGATGTCGGACAGAATACTTCAAGTAATGAAGTCTTTCAGTGTGGCACATTCTGTGCATTTGACCATCCAAGTTACATAGTTCGTTTTCTCTGACAACCGAGGGAGTACAGGTCAATCATTTCAAATAATATTGTCTCTTGGCCCATCTTCGAATCGGTCTCACCCAACAAACCTGAATAAAAGACGCGTTACTGTTTGATTGAGCGTAAACCGTGAATCTGCTATACGATTGAAATCCCGATAAGTAGAGTTCAAACCAATCGTCATATCGTCTACCGTGACCTGATCTCAAGACGTGAATTCTTCACCACCAACAATTCACGAATTAGTTGGGAGGATCAGCTGATCACGTGGACCAAGCTAAATGCATCAATCATCGGATTAATCGACAAGCTTGTCGCTCATCATCGTGTCTCTGTTCGCCTCGTTACCAGTGGGTCCAAATTATAGTATTGTTCAACGTGTGCATACTATTGACTCTATCTTAATTCAAACTAATACTGCAACTGTCCCGCGTTATCCATCTATTGGTAATCGTGATCAGTTTCCATACAGTCTTCGAAAATATGTAGGGAGCTCACGGGGGCCGTCGACGGATTTCAATAGATATGTGCGATTCGATCAGTTCAGACCACATGCTGATATGGTTTTCGTAAAATTACCGGATTAACCATTGCACGACATGAATACAAGCGATTACTTTCTAATCATAAGTCAGGGCATTTCTTCCAAGCTTTTTCCTTATTTAGAACGCGTTTTTCTGGTTTAAACTGACTGACCGGCCAACTTCTATTCATCCCTCATTTGCTGTTTACTGGGGCGATGCTAAATGCCTAGCGGGCAAGGCAGCGAGCGCCTTCAGAGCTGTTTTCCTGAAGGTATACTAGGCTGTATCTGGTTGAGTTGAATGTATCTTGCTCGCAAGCATATGCATAGCTAATGTAACATTCATTTGTCCGGTTCGGTATGGCCATTGGTCTGCTGCCGTCTATGTTGTGACTTTAACCAGCTAATGTGACATTCTGTTGTCCATTTGTCTGCTGCCGTCTATGTTGTGACTTTAACGCAATTCTTGCATTTTGTTCAAGCCATCTTGTTTTTAACCTACTTACTAGACATCGTAACGGTCAATAATTAGTGGGCTTGCCACACTGACCCCGTGTGTTGCATTTCACGCTTTTCTCGGTCAGAGGGCCTCGCTTTCAAAGACGCGTGAGCTTAGATTGCACTGTTCTGAACGTAGCCTGAACTGTTGGGTGCAACTGTTATTGACTGATATGATTCAGAATTTGTGTGACATGATTGTTCGGTCAGCCTTCGGGTCTGTCACTGACCCTACATATATGGGCAACACCATCTGTGAAATCCCACTGGCCTAATTTTCATCAGCTCTTTCATTGGACTGTTTCATTGAACTGTTCATTGAACTGTTTTGGTCTGGTACGAAGCTCACTGTCTCAACTGTTCTGTTTTGGTCTGGTACGAAGCTCACTGTCTCCAGCTGCTACATCTTCGTTGACCGTGGGTAGGGACATGGAGGCAATCTGTGCAATGACGACAAATAGATTTCCTTGTCCAGTACGCCACGAGATGAGGGCTACTCATTGAAGCTGACACAATACGGTCATCGGCTGCTCTCCACAGCCGCATCTATCGAGGTCACTAACCATTGGTTTGTCTCGCCCCACAGTCCCCATCCGGGAGATGGCAATCACCAACGCGACTGAGTTGCTTGGTAAGGGCTTTTGTGCTGTGGTGCCAAGACACAAATCCTAAGCGCTGGTCTTGCCAGAAAGTAATGCCTATAGTAACTACAAAACATAAGGACAAAATCCCACTGAGATTCACAGTCGGCCTTGGAATTATCTCGTCCATTTATTGTTAATCAAACGCCCGACTGGTTCTGAAAATCACAAGAACGCAGGGCACATGTTTTGTATCCCGATTCTTGTCAGACGGGGATTTAATGTATTAGGTAGTCTCCTTATTGGAAAATAAGCGCTAGTTCCTCGAAAGCTATCCATTTCCAACGAAAGGTTCGAGGTAGGAGCGAAGTGATTTTGGCAATACAGTTGGTCTCTTGGAGTGCCTTCTTTTAAGTAAAAAGATAACTATTCACCTGTAACACCCTGCATGTTACCTGATGGAAGCACGAACGCTAAGACACTGCGAGGTTGCTCTAGTCGACACAGGAAATGTCGAAATGCCGGCGTTGGGTTCGAACCAGGGATCTTCCAGTCACTAAGCGCCCTAACGTCTGAGCCGTCCCGCTAAGAATTCCCGGTGTGTGATGGGTCATTGGAACATTGGACACCAATTCCAGGGCCACTCATTGAAACGCAGAACTCCAAGTACGACCATTCCCAGTTTCCAGCGGTTTATGGAATTTATCGCTATTTACTTATGCTTTTTATACCTGTCCCGACGCGATCTCGGGTGGATTATATGAATATTGGTGCGAATTACCGTATGATGCCAGCTGGTCAATGAGTATATCTCAATCCCAACTCCATCGCAGTTTTTCTAACATGCATCCCTAAAAGATTATAGACTCGTTCAATTTTCCCATCCGCTTTGAGTTCCTGCGTCCAGATTGTACTGCTTGTGTCTGGTCTAGTGACAGGCGCATATGTGTCAACTACGCTGCTTGGCGTTCACCTACTAATTACAGTGACTTCGTATCTATGGGTGTTCGCGCGATCTATCTCTCATTCCTCTCTTCCTCACCCCATTCAACTTGACAATCAATAATTACCCTCGCTCCCCCGTTTTTAGCTCACGTGATCCGATGATCGACCGGTCCTAACGCACGGTTTTGGACTCATGCCGGACTTGGGCATGAAAAAACCCAGGAATATCTGTGAGTCTCTGATCTATACTTTGTGTTCACTGAACCACACCCTGCTGGTCAAGATATTTTAGTAGTAAAATGTTCCAGCCCTGACTGTCCCTAATTTCGATTTTTCGTTTAACTGGATGTCGGACGGAAAACGAAGGTAGATTCTAACACAGGTTTAGAAACATTTTTCCACAGCCACGGCGAAGTTACAGATGAATCCTAAACAGACACGATCAATGAATTCCAGAAAAAATCGCTGATTTAGACGAGATTATTTTCCCTGATGTGGACGAATCAGTGTTTGATCTTATCTAGTTCCAAGTAAAAGCTTTTCTTCGCATGATCAGTGCTCTTCTGGGCACACGAATCCTCGCTTCACCATTGCCCAATACTTTCTTTATGTTCAAACTAGTCATCTGCCTACTAATAGCGTTTCATTGTCACGATCATTGCTGATTATAGTAGTACATTTTGGTGCTTAACTGCCACAGCCCGTGCGTCCGTAGAGTCGTGCGCGCACGCACGATCTAATCCTCCAAGTGAAAGGCGGACAATTCTGTGAAACAGCCTTCACTAAGGTAACCGTACTGTGTTCCACAGACTGAAAAATCGTGTGAATAGCCTTCAGCTACAAACTGACAAAGAGTTTCGACGTCTTGGGTTGTTTCGAGCAAGGATGACTGGGTTTATCTAACAAACGCCAACCGTTCATTGGGTGACTGTTTTGCTTTTTTTTTTCTCAATATTCTGCTGTAGAAGGGGGGAATGTTTCCTCGGCTACCAGGAGGATTCTACTTACCAAACGTCGATTAGCAAAAATGTTTCCCTCAAAGTAGTTGTTTGTTAGAGGTCTATGCTAAAAAGGGAATGTCCAGTTGAAAATCAAAAGGTCGGTGCTACTTAAGTGGAGATTTCAAACGAAGGGAATTTATTTCATTCCCAACTTTTGTTGATTTTCGAAAATATACGGTATTTGATTCACACAATAATAAGTATTCACTCATCCACAGCAAGACCGTGTATGTTCTCAGTTGGATCGGCAACTCAATGAAACGATTTGTGTTAAAATAATCTGCAAAATTCGGTCCGAATGAAACAGGAACATTTGATTCACACAGTAATAAGTATTCACTCATCCACAGTTGGATCGGCAACTCAACGAAACGATTTGTGTTAAAATAACCTGCAAAATTCGGTCCGAATGAAACAGGAATCTTGGTGTAATCCACTTCGTTCTGTTCCCAAAAGTGTAGCGTTCCCGGACCGCTGTCCAAACCTAACTGGTTACACCCACTAAACGGTGGTTGTTGGCCTAATTATGCTTGTTGGACAGCGGTCTGTTTGGGCTGACTGAACAAGGAGATCAATACCCTCTTCTGGTGTGACCTCACATCATCCCAAGTTTGACATCTGGGTTCATTTTATGCACATAGGCTTACCTGATTCTAGGTATTTTCCCGTCATTTCGCCACTTTGTTCGTTACAACGGTTGTAAAGACCGAGGTCAATATATCGAACAGCTTTGGCATTGTGTTGGTCAGTTGATCCACTGGAGGTACCAGTTTCTTCCGCACCTCCGTTCGGAAAGTTTAGTGTTGCATGATGTTCGCCACACGACTGCTTGGTGAGTCGATTAGCATTGAACTGCCACATCACGTTAAACCGAACAGATCAAGCTGGTAAATGCTCATAAAAAAGTATAAACCCAACGGAACGGGCAACTGAACAACACTTGCCAGCTCACTTACGACGTCCTGACGGAATGACCAACTGCAGCCTCATGGTCAAACATACGATGAGTAGTTCCAATAGGTATTTCTGTCGGGCTTAGGAATCCTTTTCACTGGGAAGGTACCAGTTGCTTGTGGAGGGGTAAACCCGTTCGACGTCTGATTGGACGTCCCGTTAAGATCGCAACAAAGCGATACACAAATCCGTGGCTAGCAGCTAGTTTTTTGTGCAAAGTTGAGTCCTAATCTTACCTGTCGCTAGCCGGTTCCGAGTTCTAATTTATTGTCCAGGGTCTTAGAATGTCTACCACCTCTGAATTCTATTGAGAGTAAAGGAGCTATTCATTGAGCTAATACATCTTGTACGATTTGGCTTGTGACCAACTTATTTTTATCACTTGTGTTGTCACAGACGCTCTGCAAATCTGCAGTCGTACTTTTGAAAATCCAGAACAACTTGCTGAATGTTTTGCCAATTCAGGATCAGAGCCACTAACAGAAGCAGAAGTGAAATATTTACAATCGTTTTTGTCCCAGAAGCAGCTGAGGAATACTCTACAGGTGAGTTTTTGCGTGGATAGTTCGGTTGATCACCTCAGAAACAGTGGTTTTTGGCGTTTTCACCATGACCGCGAAAACGGTCACTCTCGAGACAACAAACAAATTCTCATCCAGTGGTCCCACAAGTAAGCACAACCAGTGAGGGTTTTCGACCATCAGAATAATAACATTTCAAAGCAATAAAATAACGATTCTTTTGATCTTTTGCTTCGGAACTGATACCTTTTTCAACTACAGACGTTTTATCGATAGCATGTGTCTTCCTGATGCTAGTGTCACTGTTGCGCATCATACATTCAAATCCGTTTCATTTTTTTATGGGTATATATTCAGTTACTGATCAGCTGACCGACTGACTGGTTAGTTGAATGATGCATCGATGGATAGATGGGTGGACTGCTTGATATCTCAGGTTGCCGGATTTTGTTTGGATGCACTCTGTTGTCTTTCATTTTTCTGACTAGTGCGTGAAAAATATATGAAAGTACATCGATTGTGCACCGCCTTACGTTCGGCTGATCTGACCATTAGGATGGCATGAGTAGATTACACTGTTAAACCAACCCAGTGTATCGCACATCATTTCATCTTTATACGTTAGTCTCGATTTCCAGACGGTACATACTTGCCTTCCGATTTTCCTTTCATTCTATGAAGTAATGTTCAAGGTGTATCAACATGTCGTTTTTAATGGGCGTCATTGGTCCTGCAGTAGCTATGGGCCTTACAACAATATTCAAATCTGGGACATTGTCATTCCTCAGCAGTACGAACACAAGCGATCGTAACCAAAGTCCCCACTGTGTAGATCGAGCGTCGGAGTAATGTAGTCCTTCAGTCCTGCCCTATCACAATTGGTAATAGATTCCTCCGGAGCCGTGCTAGTACAGTAACAGCACTAACACCCGACGCTTTGACTAGTGACACCGCGCAAGTTATCTGATTCGGTCAAACGCTTCGTAAGTCCTAAGTTTCCGTACAACCTTTTCGGCAAGACCGTATTCAGAGCGGGAAAAGTCAAGCTATTGATCTGACAGCAAAGCGTAAAAGCCATGATGAACAATCTCAGCTGTCTTTTTGAATTAGAATTCTGAGACGAGACACACTGGCATTACGGAAGTTTTTAAATCCCTTCCGGCTGTTCATTGAGAGCAGTCGGTAAGTTAGACAAAATATCATACCGTGCGAACTAGAAGTTCATCGCACTGTTTTCATTCAGTTGGATCTCTTGTCATATCATTTAGCTTGCTGAAGTGACTAGGCTGTACACTATATTGAACCTATCAGATAAAGCGGTACGGTTTAGAGAAATACACTCATTCGAAAACCAATTTGGTTTTCACGAGAGACTCAACTGAATCTCTCGTTTATGATATTCTACAACTGAAAGTGCTGCACACAGGCCGCCTCATGTTTCAGTTGGAATATCATTGTCCGCATCTAGTTTCCCGGAGCCCAATGAGTTTGATCGCCATAGTCCCGCGGGTGGTGTACGCCCACTATTTCAAACAGTATCTGTTGGCAACTTTGTCCACGGCTGTTTTCCTTTAGTGTACTGTTCTGTGTCTAGGGGACGGACTTTCCCAGTTTATTCTTCGGAAATAGTGACACTAGGTTAATGAAGCTATGCTTCTCGCAACGCCTTCAAAAATGTTTGAGTCTACTTCCCTCAGAAGATAAGTGGTGATGATGGGGTACAGGAATAGCGTTGTAAACAGGATCAATTTAACTCACTGCTAACTCCGCAAATCCTGCCACTTAAAGACTGCTCCCCGGATTCTTCTGCGAGCACTCGGCGACGTCGACCGATCCTTCTTCAACATCAATTTGCTTAGATGTCAAAGCGAATGGACGAGAGATGCGATCTAGTCCTCCTATGCTCTGCTACTACTGCACTTTCGAAAGCTAATGTCTCCTTATCCAAGACGTCGGTCTACATATTTTGCTCCAGATCAATCAGGGAGTATTCAGCCTGGTGATAGGACTCAACTGTTTTGCTTACGACGCCTTCCTTAAAGTTGGCGGAATCCCAACATTTAAAACCGGAGTCGGTTACAGCCACAAATGGGACATAATGACGCGCTCACAGTATCCGGGGCTTCGAGCTGGTCGATTGTTGCCATGGTGAGACCGAAATGTCATTTATACTGAACTAGCTGCTTGTCCACTGTTCTGAAACTTTCGACCAATTAACAATCACTCGTCGCATGAGGTTAGTCCAATCAAGGGACTATAGCGACTGACCAATGTCGGCCTAACGGTGACCAATCCCACTTACCAATTAACTTCCCTCGTCGCATGAGGTTAGTCCAATCAAGGGACTATAGCGACTGACCAATGTCGGCCTAACGGTGACCAATCCCACTTTGAGCACGGGACGAGAAGTGAAAATATTTGGAATATATCCAGATAGTCTTAACGCTGTTAACACAAGCAGTGGGTAACTCTAACATGAATGTACTCACCTTTTGATGTTGCTCTGCGTGAACCACCTCAATTCTCCATAAGTTGAATGGTGGACTTTGAGAACTTCGAACTTGAGTGCTCATGCGATCATTGATAATGCCACACAGGGTGCTGTGTTTTCTGGTTTAAGCTCCTCCTTGGATGGCAAGTACCGAACTACTCTGCGGTCGTTTACTGTTAGCACATCTGTGGTAGATATCTTCATCGTATGTAAACAACCCTGACAACATGAACTTATGTGTACCTGTGGGTGTGTGCTTCAAAGTACACTTATACTTGCTTGAGTTGATAATCAGCTGGCGCACCAGCTTCATATGGTCTGTTTTGGTAACCTTGTTATTCGGTTATTGCCAAATAACAACAACCTCTATATTGGTTGTCGTATTCACAAATGAGAAGCATGTGATTAAACGTTTCGGAGGCATATGTAAATGGTAAATTGTTGCTTCCAGTAGGTTACTTAAGGTGCCGTAAGGACAGATCACGAACACATTCAATAGTCCCAGCTGGATTGTGTGTTTCGTAAGATCATACCACTTAATATTCGTGATTGTGCTGCCTACTGTATCTTCAATACGTCGGATGTGAAAGTTCTGTGAGCTTCATTAGGAACGGAAGCGTGCATTCTTCCACCCGTTTATCGTCTTTCACAGCTTCTTGATGATCTCACCACGGGCCTCAACTTCCAAGCGTTGGTCACCAGTGCGCGGCCCCGGACGCAGGAAGAATGCGACAGTCTTCAGGCCTTATCCGAGTTGTGGACGGAGCTGGAAGGTTTTGTGATGCAAACCAGAGAACAAGACGAACCGGAAGCGCACGAACTATACGATTTATTGGCTGACATGCATATACGAGTGCGTTCAACACCTACCATTTTTTGGTGCTGTTTTTCTTTACGCCTTTCGTATGTTTAATCCTCTCTGGCTGGCTCCCCAACTGTATCATTCATCTATGTTACCACCGTGTGTCTCACTTTTGTCACCATATGTCACAGTTGTTAGGGTGGTCAAATTGATCGCAGATGGCTCTGTGTCATCCCATTTGCGCACGTAAATGAGTAATCTGAACCAAGTCTGGGTAGATAGCGGTCTTTTATGAACCTTCTAGGGTGTAGTCGTCCAGAGGATGCTGCTTTTTGTTGTACATGAGTAGTTTGATTCAGTCCGTCCACAGATTCTATACCCTCATTGTACATCGTATAGTTAGTGGATTGAATGTTTTAAGTTCGATTATACACTGCTAAGTGCGAAGAATGCTGGAAACATGCGCAAATTGTTCCACTTGATTCGATTCGTTGGTTCTCA